AAAGTTTCCAACTTTTCCTGTCACCACAAAAAGCTCCTGCTTCTAGCTGAGGGTGCATGGGAAAGACTGTGTACAGCCTGCCCACCCATTTGGTTGCTTGTGGTCTTCCTGCCCACTGCCACCACTTACCTTCAGCTCTGGCTTCAGCCCCTACCAGCCTGGAGCTGGATCTGGAACTGCACCTATCGCAGAAGGTAGGTGGCAGGGGGGAGGGTGTGAGGGGCAAGCATTGCAGGCAGACAGGCAACAGGGGGTCAGGAATAGGCATGGGGAGCCAAGGGATGGGGGAGAAGTGGGTAGGAGATGTGGTGGGGAGCAGGCACAAGCATGGAGCTGGACCCAGGCAGATCGGAAAAGGGCAGCCAGAGGTCTGGCTGCTTTTCCTATCATAGCAGTGGAGGGTGGGGGTTATGAATGTAAGATGATCCTCTAATAATAATATTCTATGCATGGAAACTCTTAATAAATTTATAATTTTCCATGTATAGAATCTAATTATTGGAGGGCCATCTTAAATTTGAAGTAGTCTGGAATTCGGGTAAATAAGATACTTAAAAGAAGGTAGAACAAGGGACTTTTAAACCACTTTTCAATCTGAATTTGTAAATGTACTTTCTAGGAAAAAAATAAGCAATTGTAGTAGGTTGGTAAATTGGTATGTTCAGAATTTCATTTGCATATTTTATAGTAATTTAGAAAATATTGTCACAATGAATATAGTACAAATATTGATAAGTATTCTATCCCACTCAACTAATCAGATTTTTTTTATCTGGCAAGCACATTATGAGTCTGTTTTTGGTAGTGTTGCCAAAAATATCTCACCTGGAAAAATGTTTGAACTACCCATTTCTAAGCTTTTACAATTATTTTTATATCACTTAGAAATTATGCCCAGATTTACGATTTATTGTTGCAGTTGCTGAGCCTTCCCATCTTCAAATCTTTAAAAGTGCTGACTTGAATAGTATCACTATACATATTCATAGCATATACAAGAGCCAAGAGATTCTTTTTTATTAATTGCAATAATTAATTAATTCTTGACTCTTTCATAGTGATATGATTACAATCAACAGTAAAAGAGATTTTTTTCAATTTCTGTTTTTAATAAAGTTTCCTGTTGTCATGTGTCCATAATAGGCTTAGACAATGTACGGAAATAAAATGTTAGTTGTCATAATGAGCAACATAAAGTACACTGTCCATTTCAGAGAAGTTGGCTACTTTCCACCACCTTTTATTAATACTAATGCAAAAATGCTTGGCACTTTGCATCAGGAAGATCTGTCTATCACTGTAAAGCATATCTTTTTGGAAAGCCAAAGAGACTATAGCTATGCCAGTATGTTGATACAATATGACAAGCCCATTTTTGTTTGATTTTAGGGCACTAGAACTAGCGGTAAAACACAAGACGCATGTTGATACAGTTCTGGCTTATCGACAGAAGTTCCTGGAAGATTTTGGTAAAAAAGAAACTAGTAAACAATTTTTACAGTATGCTGAAGGTGTAAGTATTCTCTGGGGAATTTATCCTACACTTTCAGAAGGTCAGCTTACTTTTTGTAATTATAAAATTGTGCACACAAGAAAAAGTGTGTGCACATTGATGTCTTTCAATTCAGTGTAGAGCCAAATCTTTGTTGTTACACATTGATGTATCTGACTTTGGGTATAGATTAATAGTTTAATATATAACTGGTAACATTTGTGGACAATATTTACTAGAGGACATAAAATGTGTGCGCGCAAATTTTGAAACTTGCAGGGATTGTGCAAATGCAAGAATAAACAGGGAATTAGTCCTGAGTTTGGTGATTATTGCACAGATATTAACAGTGATTAATCTCTAAGGGTATCCAGAAAAAAAATAACAACCAGTCTTGAACTGTTACATTCTATATGATAAATACATTAATAAAATAGATTTCATAGGTATACAATTTTATAGAATCCCTATAATTCCTACTCAAAATTACGGTAGATCACGTTAGTTGAAAACAAAGATATTAACCTCAGTTGGTTGGTTGATTAGCATTTTGTATGTTCTTAAAGGCTAACAAGGAACGATTTTGATCATGTGCTAGAAGCAGGCATCTTCATGTATCTTCAGCATATTTTTATATCTGGGATGGATGTACCAATGGTACAAACTGTAACAGTGGGACCTTTTAATAGCAGTGTTCTTTGGAGTGTGTTCCTGACCCCTCCTGCCACTTCCTGTCTGCTCCCGAATGTCCTGAGTGTGAGGTTTTAAATGGGGTTCAGGTCATCTGACCACTTCAGTTCCTTCCAACTACTGTGTCCAATGGATCGCATATCAGGTCCAGGCTCTTGACTCCAGGTCCTTTGTTTGGATAGTGCCATTTTATTAGTGTGCTTAGCTTTCTATGGTAATTAGCTTTTGGCATTTAAGGGTGATGTATTAATTAAAAAAACAAGCAAGCAAGTGTAAGATACCTAGCTGGCTGGGAGATTCACCTCTCCTCCAGATAATTCAGTCTGTAGTACCTTCACTTCAAGAACTCAGAGCAATAGAACAGATTTCACACACTGCTGCTGCAAGAGGTTTTAGCAGTCAGGGCCTCCTAATCCAGTACATCTTGTGGATGAGTGTGCATAGACCTGGGGGGAAGAGAAAAGAGACCACTGAAACAGATGGCTTTAAGTTCCAAGCACTAAGAAACCTCTTATAACTAAAAATGATTCTGAACTTTTGAATCTGTTGAGAATCAGGCCCACCATGATAGTCATAAACTCTGTGAGGAGAAGTTAACACCCCCAAACCTAGTTCTGAGAAGCTTAGGAAGTTCCAAGCAAAAAACTAATTTGCACATTTTGTGCCAAAAACTGTTCAGTTGCCATAAGGTATTGTCATACTAAAAATAATGTCTTTGGACAAAGATGGCTGTATTTGCAAAAATCATACCTAGAGGAACAGAGAAAAATAGCTAATGTGCTTATCTCTGAAGACCAGCTTGTTGCAAGGCTAGAAAAGGTCAATCTTACTACACAAGAAAAGATTCCTTTTGTAGGGGCAATTTGGCTTGCAGAATGGTACAGCTTTTCTGTCAGAAAGCCACTGCCAGGTCCCAAATCAAAGAGTGATATCCTTTCTCAGATTAATGGACCTTATCAGAAGGTTGTGCCCCCTGCTGTGACTTAAGACAGGAGGTTCCTGGCTAGAGGGTCTTGCCCCTCTGCTCAGGGTCAGATCACCGTATTTGGGGTCAGGAAATAATTTTACCCCATGGTGAAATCGGTATGGACTGTGGTGGTTTTTGCCTTCCTTTGTAGTGGGGGGGTATGGTCCTCTTCCTTGGATCTCTTGAGTGTATTTTAACAACCTTTGCATCAGCAGGACATTGGCTGCTGTGGTCCCCCTGCTTTACATGTAGCAGGTTCAGGTGTTATATCTTGTAGTTGTGTCAGGGCTGATTGTGTAGTTTGCCTGATAGTTTAGGTAATGGATTTGTATAGGATGTTTTAGATAAGGATGATCCTTCCTCAGGTGGGGGGCTAGGCTAGATGACCTATGGAGATCCCTTTCAGCCTGCCTTCTCTGATTCTACAACCTCAATTTTGTATGTAATATCTTGTGCTCTGATGCATTCCTAATCATATTGATGATATCTTTTAGGCACCCATTCCACTTAGAATAATCTGCAGGATTGCAATGTAGAGCTCCATAGAGGTGTTTATAAAACTCCTTTTTGGACTGCATCTATGTCTGAGGTTTAATTTGGCTAAGTAATACTTTGGTCCTTTTTTTTCTTGAAGGGAAGTATTGTTTATTAAAATACCCCAAGAGTCGGAACATGCAGAAGACACTTGTGCACTTAACCAGTGTTCTTTAAGATGTACTTTGTGTATCCTTGCTTGTTGCTCACCTTCCTGTGTTCCTAAGAGTCTAATTATAATCTCAGACTTGCAGGCAGAAGTGGTAGGAACCGTAGGCAAACTTCACCCTCAAAATATTCAGGAATAGAGAGAAGAGTGTCAGGGAGCAGGTCATGGGCATTGATATCAGAAGTTCCACTGACACATTCCAGAAGTGTAAATATGCATAGTACATAGATTTCATAAATGTATAGGTTCAGAAGGAACCTATTATATCATTGAGTCTGACCCCCTGCTCTGGGTAGCAAAGAGCGCTGGGGTCAAGTAACTCCAGTCAGATGCTCGTCAAATCTCCTTTTGAACACCTCCAAGGTAGGAGAAAGCACCACCTCCCTTGGAAGCCCATTCCATACTTTGGCAATCCTTACCATAAAGAATTTCTTCCAGATGTCCAATCTAAATCTACTCTTAGTTTATGGTCATTGTTTCTAGTAACCCCAAGGGGCGCCCTGGTAAACAGAGTACCCCCTATTCCCTGCTGACCCCACCTCGATGAGTTTGTAGACAGCAACAAGATCGCCTCTCAGCCTTCTCTTGTGAAGACTGAAGAGATTCAGGTCCCTCAATCTGTCATCATAGGATCTTACTCACAGGCTCTCAACCATACAAGTAGCCCTCCACTGAACCCTTTCCAGGTTATCCACATCCCTCTTGAAGTGTGGCACCCAAAACTGAACACAGTACTCCAGTTGTGGCCTCATCAATGCCGCATAGAGGGGAAGTATCACCTCCCTAGACCTGCTCGTGATGCACCTACTAATGTAAGACAGAGTGCGGTTAGCCTTACTTACTACCTCGTCACACTGGTGACTCATGTTCATTTTTGCATCGACTATGACTCCGAGATCCCTTTCCACTGCTGTGCTACTTAGAATGGTACTTTCCAGTCTGTAGGTGTACTGGTGACTCTTTCTCCCAGGTGTAGCACTTTGCACTTTATCTTTGTTAAATTGCATCCTATTCTAATCCACCCATTTCCCCAGACTGTCCAAATCCGCCTGAATTTGCTCCCTACCCTCTAGTGTGTTTACTATACCACATAGTTTGGTGTCATCTGCAAATTTGGACACGGTGCTTTCTACACCTTCATCCAAATCACTGATGAAGATATTGAATAGTATGGTCCAAGGACAGGGCCTTGGGGGACACCACTGCCCACGTCTCTCCAGTTAGAAATGAACCCATCCACCACCACCCTGTGTCCCATAAGCCAATTTTCCACCCACCTGACTGTGAAAAAATCCATGTCACAGCTACTTAGTTTACTTGTAAGAATTGGGTGTGACATTGTGTCAAAAGCCTTTTTTAAAATCCAAGTAAATAACATCTACCTCTACTCCTGCATCTGAGTGCTTTGTAACCTAGTCATAAAAAGAGACCAGGTTAGTCAGGCAAGATCTGCCTGCTATAAACCCATGCTGGTTGCCTCTTAACATAGTATTACCTGCTGGCCCCCCACAAATGTGATCCTCAATGATTTTTTCTAAGGTCTTGCCAAGAATAAGGTAAGGCTAACCAGCCCATAGTTACCACGGTCCTCCTTCCTCTCCTTCTTGAAAATAGTGACCACATTGTCCCTTTTCCAGTCTTCTGGGACCTGTCCTGAGTGCCATGAATGCTCAAATAGTCGCGCCAGTGGTTTGGCTATGACACTGGCCAATTCCTTTAGTACCCTTGGGTGAAGATCCCTTCACCAAGTCAGCACTAACTGTTGGTTGACTGGTATCTTTCTCAAGCCAGACTAAAGTCTGGTTGGGCGGTGTGTTTGTATCCATGACCAGGAACACAGATGCAAAGAAATTGTTTAAGAGTTCAGCTTTGTCCATCCTATCTGTTACGAGTTGCCCTAGTCCATCCTGTAGTGGCCCTATGTTACCCTGCACCTTCTTCCTGCTCCCTATGTACTTAAAGAAGGACTTTTTGTTACCCTTAATCTTTGTTGCCAGTCTAAGTTCTGTTTCTGCTTTGGCCTTCCTCACTGCTTCCCTGCAAGCAAGAGCCAAGCACATATACTCCTCCTTGGTGGCTGTCTGCTGCTTCCATTACCTATAAGCCTCTCTTTTCCCCTGTAGGCTCTCCTGGATTTCCCTGCTCAGCCAAGAGGGTTTCTTGGCTCTTTTGCCTCCCTTTATATGTACTGAGATGGTAGCCCTCTGTGCCTGCAGGATCAGTCCCTTGAGGAACTCCCACCCTTCCTGGACTCCCATGTCACCCGATGTTATTACCCCTCAGTCCTACTCTAACTAATCTCCTGAGCTTGTTGAAGTTGGCCTTCCAGAAGTCTAGCACTTCTGCCCTACTAGTTATCTTTCCCACCTTAAGACGCATAGTGAATCCTATCAACAGGTGGTCACTATCTCCTAGGTTACCTTGTACCTGCAGATCCCCCACCAAGTCTTCCCCTGTGGCCAAGGTATTTAGCTAGTGGGACTGCATACCTCCTGTGTTAGGTGCAAGTCCTTACATCTCTAAGAACTCCAGTTACAGGTGAATAACCTTTATTTTAGGTTCTGCTGGGGTTCAAGCCCAGAAGAGTAACCATGGAACATTGTTGAGCAACCAAAAAAAATGTCATGTCCATTATAAGACTTGAATGCGAATCATATCTATAGACCAAAACGTTACTTGCGACTGACTGTATGTACCACATTGCATGTATTGGATGCACAGTGGTAATATTAATCAGGAGTACATGACAGTTGGGCTGCTGAATTATGAATACAGCGAGAAACACAAGTGGCAGATATTCGAATACCAGTACCAAATTCATTACACTGATCTGATTTAGAGGTATTCGTTTTTTGAAATAGGAGTATTGAGAACGCAGCCCATTGTGGGTCAGCATTATAACTACTAGGCATCAGTTAATATCAGTTTTATCATAATGGCATTCTGATGTTCCAGTCATGTGCAACAATATAAAAATATAGATAATTTGAAAAAAATTACCTGTGTCAAGTGTTGTGAAACTGAATGACTCTAGGAGGGTTGAGAATAAGTAGGTTGTTTATTTTTTTGGCTATGTAGCTGAGTTAAGTTGAAGTAAGATTGCCATTGAATTAAGGGCAGTTTGTTTGTAATACTTCTTGGGTAACTTATTCTCATAATCCGTCTAAAATATGTATTGATTTCTGCTTCATTTCCTTCTTCTGCATGGGACTGGGAGCAGCACAGTAGGGCAAGGGAAGTGTCTTGAATTAGCTGCATAGACTGGGATGTCAGGAAAGCAGTAGAATAAGCAATTGCCCTACACTTTTAATCTTATAATGGTTCTTCATAACACCTTGTCACTCCCAGTTCACAGCTCTTCTCCATCCCTCCAAGCAGACTATTGCAAGAACGGATTTTCTCTGTTACTTAGCTCAGCCTGCATCTCCCTCTTTCTTAGATGTGAGGACGGGCATTTGATGCTTGAAAGCTTGTCTGGTAGCTCTCCCAGCTATACAGTTGGTCCTATAGAAGATGTCATAAAAAGTCCTTGCCTCTCAGACATTTCCAGGACTGTCATGACTAGAACACTCCTACCCTGATTTTTTCTTAAAATACGACAGTCAACAGTGTACACGAGTTCAGCTATTAATGCATATCAATCCTGGCCTGAAATCAGAAATCTGCTAGCAGAAAAAAACAAGAGAATGAGATAAGGTGCTGGTTTGGACAATGTAGCTGTATTACAGTAAAAAATGAACAGAATGCCAACAGTGTTTGAGTATGAGAATGAGACATACCTACCTGGGAGCCAGTTTGAATCCTTTTCATCTGTCTAACGTTCATAGTTTCACTGAAACAAGTTACTGTCACAGATGATGTTTTTCAGCAGATGGAAAAGTGCCATGTCATAGCTGAAACATTTGTCAATACAAAAAACAAGTATCAAGTGGCAATCTTATTTTTCCATCAAATGACTAATGTAGATACCATCAATTTGCTTGATGGACTATTGGTATAGGAGAGGGAAGTTGCTTAATGTACCATTAATGAATGGTTCAAGTCTGAGTGATGTGACAAATAGATTTCATTTGTTTTTAAGTTGGAAGAAGGCCAGTGGGCTTATCTAAATTTATTTCCTTGTATCAGTATTTTCTCCCTACATATGATATTTTTGCAAAGTTTCAACTCTGTTTGATATAAAAAATGGGAACCTGAGAGATCATACTCTTTATCAGAACATGTGGCATAGGTCCGTCCAGGTGATCTACACACATAGCTCCCATTAGTATTAATTGTAGCTATTTGTGTGCATTAAGAGGGGGCTTATGTAAAGAGTGAGCAAATTGTTTTGTAACTTGTACCTTAAAACACTCATGTTCTTCATTAGTAGACTTCTAATAAAATGTGAATATGAAAATTAGTAGACTTCTAATAACATGCATCTACTGTCTTTCCTATTCTTACAGCTGGAAGTTGATTGGGATAAAATCAAGGCCAAAATAGAGATGGAAATTGCTAAAGAGAGAGAACGAGCAGCAAGCACTCCACCGGTCAGGACCAGCGTAACTGTTCAGCACTAAGTGCCATGCTGATCACATTAGTTAGTTGTTTTATCAGACATTAGTTGCATCTGTGTATTAAAAAGTATAAGTAAGAATTAACATTTTCCATAGAGTGAGAGAAGGAATTGGCAGTTTTGCTTTTGGACAATGTGCAGAATTTCTCTCTAGTGTGTTGTCAGTGTATTAGATCTGAGCCCCCTCCTGCTTCCCTTATCCACTGAAATCTGTAGAACCGTGTGAGCAAGGAAAGAGAATGGGGCTGGTCCTTGTCTTAATCTTTCAGATTTTCATAGCTTTGGAGTAACTGTATTTTGTCTTTGAATACCTGGAGTTATACAGTGCTGTATATGTTTAAGTTCCTAAATAAGCTTGTCTGATTTGCCAGCAGCTGCAGGGCTCAGGTACATGGCACTTGTTTAGGTGTCCAGCTATAGACACCTAAATGTGAAAAGTGCAAGGCTATATTTGTAAACCAAAAAAAGGAATGTTTCATTTGCAGTTAAATGTATTAAACCATGAGAAGACTGCCCCAGTGTTGAAGTATTTTCAGATAATACATATAATATATTATTTCAAATTAGTTGCTTGCAATTATATATTATGTTGTTGGGTAGGTTTTGGGAAAGCAGATTATCATGGAAAAATCATCTCACATTTAATATAGCATGGAACGTCTTTTAAATTTTAACAAAATATGTGTTTTCTGAAAATACCGAATATGTAATTAGCCATAGTGTTCAGAGCTTCATTAAACGTTAGAATATCTTATCTATTTAGTTGAAGAATAACATTTCATGTTTGTATGCTGTCCAGCTCACTTGGTTAAAATTTTAGTGGTGTTACACATATGCTATTTCATCAAAGTATACTCTTCTTTTTTTCCTGTTACGTGCATATACTGTGGTTTGTCTGCATGATTCCTTTGCAATATTGGGATGTTAATGTGTTACTGGTAGCTGAAAGATGTTAAAGTAATTATATATAATATTTATCTTTCAGATGTTAACACTAAAAAGTTTTATACATTCTGTGAATTTTTATCTGATTTAATATTTTGTTTTGTAAATCATTATGTGGCAGGTATAAATCTTCCATATATTTCATATATTTCTTAATAAAAGATCAAATAAAGTACTTTATACAATTACCTGGTGCATCTTATTGATTTTCTCAGACTACTAATTAAAGCAGATAAATTCTATCTACCACCTACAACCCCTTTAAAGGCCCATTTCTTTAGTATGCTGAGCACCTCCTGCAAGCTGAACACCCTTCTCTTCCATTGACATATGAGAAGCACTTACTACTTACAGGGCTGAGACCAAAATATCACTAATAGCAAATGTTTAATGTTAAGTTTATGGACCTTGGCACCACTTCATAATGCTATGTAAGTACATTCTGAAGGCCAGTCTAGTGGAAATGCAAGATTTGAGATCTGAACCTGAGCTTGCTCTCTTGTTCTTGAGCCAGCTGGGGCTGAGAGTACTGCAGAGACAGCATATTCACCTGGCTTCCTGAAAATGCACAATGGAATTATTACCACAAGGAGGATTTTTTAAAAATCAACTTTGTACTTGCAAAAGTTGCTAGTGATCAACTGCACTGAAGACTGTTACCTGTTTTATCCTCAGATCAAGGTACAGGCTATACAGCCGCAGAGCAAGCTGCCTTACTAATAAATGTCAAGATCAAGTGAAAAGTATTTCAGTTATTCAAAACTGTATCTTGAATAGTTTCATGGAACATTGCTTATTGTTTAGTTTAGTTGGACACTTGGGGCCAAATTCCTATTACTGTCTCCTTAGGTGCCCCATAGTAAGTTGTTCCATTTCTGTTTTCTGATTTAGTTAGTGTTATTCTTAGAATCAAGTTTTCAGAGAGACTTGATGTTTATGAAATCAGAGTTTATTTTCTGTGAATATTCTTCAATATTTGTTAGTTTTGTAATCCTTTTTTTCATCAAACTCAACTACTAGAATATTTACAGACAATAAACAAGCACAAATACTGTAAAAGCAAATTGGTTTAAAAAACTAACAAATAGTAAGGTAATCTTTCTGCAGTGTTTATCTAGTGCTGCCCATATATATAGTATGCATCAGCCTTTGGTGGGCATCAAGCTTGGGGTGATTGAAAGGTGAAATCCTCTGTATTTTATTACTAGTCCACAGATTCATCCAGTCTTACTGCTACAAACAATATGGCAGAGTTAATTTATGGGACTGCCAGATCCTCATCAGGGTTTTAGATACTCCAAAAGGTAATTTGAGCAAATTCTTTTGTTTTTACAATCCTGTTAAATTATTTTTTAGCTTTTTTGTGTACAGCAAACTGATTCTTGGACAGAATCCAGTCCCTGAACCTACTTATCTAGAGGAGTTTGGGGTGGGGGGGCTCCACATTGCAACTGCAATTTTAGACTTTTGCCTTCTCTGCTTTGAGATGCTTTTATTAATGCAGTACACAATAGCTTTTGACTTTAGATGCCTGAGGTTTTCAAACGCTCTATATTGTACTTGTCCTTAATTATCTGTAGGTACTGTAGTACACTATATTACACTTGTCCTTAACTATTTGTAGAATAAAGAGATTTGCATATAACCAAGTACTATGGTAGGACCAATACAACTTTCCTTCTGTTATTCCTGTCAAGTTACCTCCTGCTCCAACTTGTTTGTATTATGTAACTTCCACAATCAGAGTGAAGACAACAGAAAAATTAACTAGTGATGCATGAAGATCCTACACTAGATGATCAAATACCCATTTTAAAAATAAAGTATGTGCCTGCTAGGTAACTACTGTATTTTCATGGCTGCACTTGTCAAAATTTCCTCCTGTTGTCTGAGAAGTAGAAGTGAGTACAATTGAACTATAACTGTTCTAGTCAGTGTGGCGATTGATTAGCCTTTCAGATATAAACACAATTTTGGTGTAGTAGTATAAGCATCTTAGTAGTCCATGTACTGTACTTTAGCACTTAGCAATATCAATCCCCATTATAGTTAGTTTATTTTGCATATAAAGAATTTGGTTACAATGTAAAACTGTAAGATATACAGTGTAACTCTAAGTGAGAGAGAAGCTGATTAATGCAATATTTAAAGGCCGGGAGTCAATAATGAATATAATGAGAGAGTCTCATAGCAATGTCAGTTTAGTTCAAACATCCAAAAATTATGTTTAACTGCCATTGCACATGATCTTGAAAACCTCATCTGAAAAAGTTACTTATTTGAAAATTGGTACTTTGGGGTTTTGGGGTTGTTGGGTTTTTTTGGTGGGGTTCAGTCTTCTGATGTAAAAATTAACAACTGAAGTAATCTGTCAATGTAATATTAGCACCCTGTACAATAATGTCTGAGCCCTGGATGCTCTGTTGATGTCAGTAAGATGCCTCATGCATCAGGAAAGTACAAGGATATTACATTGTAGTAAGGGATGGAATATTGTATGCACTACTACCATTATCTCTAGTTGTTCAAGGGAGGTCACAGCATTGCATGTCAGGAAAGTAGGAGTCTAAACACAACTTAGGAGCCAGGAACTCCAGAATTTGACTGGGATTTCCCTTATGGCTTTGCATAAATCAAGAGGGCTTCCTGCCTCAGTTTCTCCTCTGAAAATGAGAACAATCTGTATTCGCTTACTTTGCAGAGTTGTTCTGCAGATTAATTAATTATCTAGTGTTCATAATACACCTTAGTAAGGAAGTGTTAGTAAGTACTAATTATTATGAGTTTTATAATATCTGGCTTTTCATCCATAAATCTCAAAAGAGTTTTATAAAGAAACAATATTGTTATTCCTACTTTATAGTTGAGGAAACTGAGACAACAGGTGAACTCACTTGCTTGACATCACCCAGCAGACCACTGACAGGCAGGAAATAGAAGCCAGGCCACTTTGGTTCCAGTTCAGTGTTTTGTTCACTGATTTTTTTTTTTAAGCCCACTGGACACCAAAAAACTTTACATAAACCACTGGAATACCAGGGACTAGATTTTCAAAATGTTACTTGCCATTTTCCAACTGGCAAAACAGTGGGAATAGCTTCCCATGATCTGCCTGACTTATTCCAGGGTTTCATCCAAATCTACAGGGGCTGGAGTGGTGCAGGCACTAAGCTGCATGGTTGACAGCTCAGAGGTCTCAAGTTTGAGGTCACAACAGAAGTGCTCACGGTACAGCTCTATCAGATTCCAATGAATCTGCAAATTTTGCTAAATGCCTTGTCACAAGGACACAAAAATGAAAGGATCCAAATCTATCAACTTTCATTTTTTGAGCTAAATTTCAGCACTGAAAAAAACAAAAAAATGTTCTGGAATTTCCTTTGAGACTCT